ACATCTAAGGGGCGTGTTTTTCCAGTCTTGTTTTTGAAGCTGATGTGGATATCTATTTGCAACTCTAGAATTGTACTTTTGATAGTGGTTGACTCTGTAAATGGTGACCAGTTGTTTAAATGTCTGTTTCAGAGAATTTTAGCAGATACAGATAAGCAGATAAGTCAGCATTAGCAGACAGACCAAACCACCAACAGATGTTCAGTCTATCCTCAATAAATTAAAGGTTAATGGAACTGCAGAGCAAGAAGCACAGCTAGCTCTGCTGTTGGGGAAATACTCATTTGTGTTTGCAGTAGAAGATAAAGACTTAGGTTACACAGACAAAGTACAGCATGAGATACACCTCACAGATGACCAACCTGTAACACAGCCTTACCAACGGATGCCACCCACACAATACAATGAAGTGAGGGAACACTGTCATTGTCTTGGCACTGATGGTTGGAATTCTCATCTACTCCTGCTACCTGTCTAATTGGCCTGGTGGCTCATTACGCTCATCTTTTCCAGCTGGTTCCTGCTGCTACTTATGCTGCCTGTTTGCCTAAGGCTTCAGATTATTCGAGCTGTTTGGTGAGAGTAACTCTAGCAAGTATTTAGCTAAGTATTTGTTCTGTGATTCTGATTCTGACCTGTTTCTACCTTTTGATACCCGATTTCTGCCTTGCCCTTGTCTGCTCTGTCAGTTTGCTTGTTAATATCATTAGGTCCTCGATAATCTATGCAGGGTCTGAGTGACCCATCCTTCTTCGTCACAAAAAAGAACTATACCTGAGGGAGAGGAAGATAGGCAAATTATCCCCACCTTCAGAGAGTCAGAAATATACTTCTATATAACCTGAGATTCAGGGGCTGATTAGGAGTATAGCCTCCCTCTAGGGGGCGTAGTCCCAGGCAGCAAGTAAATACTGCAATCAGTCATTGTAATCATCTGGAACTTTTAACAGGTCTGGATAATATTCCTCCCCTCCCTTCTCTGCTGACTGTTCTAATACATATCAAAACAGATGCCATGTCATGTTTGTACCACGATAACAGTACTGGTTTATTTCTTGAATGGTAATGGATCAATTTATTCCATCTAAGTAAAATCACCTGACAGCAGGTGAAAATGAAGTCTAAAAATGTGCAAGAGCAGTTGGTCCCCCCAATGTGCCACTGTGACACATTGTGACACATTGAACAATAAAACTTGAATGAATATGTTTTTTTGATCTGTGAGCCGCCGGCTAAATCTTGCTGGGAGATGATGCCTGTGATTGATTAGTCATACCTTCATAGGACTGAAGGGGGAGCCATCAGCCACGATGTCTCATTCCTGTTGCATTTGTCTGAATGGAAGCATCATGACTGAGCTTCTTTTATACCTGTTAACCGTTTTCAGGTAATAGCTGAATATTCTTATTTGTTTACCCTTAAAAATGTTTGCTAGTAATCATTGTTGTGTTTTGTGAGTTTTCCATCTAGCACCGATTAGCCTGTTGATGACGTAGCACTCAGACACCAGTGTTGATGCTTTGCAGAGTGTGCGTGTAATTAGAACATCCATCTAATTAAAGAAGATGTTAAAAACTGCATGTGAGTCTGGTACAGTTGATAGTAAGAGTTAAGTCCACTGTGTTATTTGGGAAATTAGCACTTAGGGTTTTATATCTTCTTTTGAGATAAAAAATAAATAAAAATAAGAAACATCATCGAAATCTGAAAATACATACAAGGAACTGTTTTATACATATAAACTATAACGCAGTTACCATTGCAGACACCCCGTTACTGCGCGTTACCCAGGTCGCACAATGAACCTTTTTTCATGATAGAACTCGTGCGCAGCTGCGTGAAGCTGACACCCCACCCACGTCAAAA